ATACATAATTTTATAAACAACTCAAACAACAAATAAACTAATAACTGTCTCATACCCTCTATTAGATGTCGAATCTCCATCTGGTCAATCTGATCCCATTCTTGGACCAAAGCATCTCTCAAAAAATTTAAATTACTTGGAGAAGGAACTCGGTTATGAACTCGTCTGCCCAACATGTCCCAGACGTGCTCAATTGGATTGAGGTCTGGGCTACGTGATGGCCAGTTCATCCTTTGAATTTCTGTTTCGTTCAAATATTGAGATACAATCCTCGCAATAGGTGTTCGGGCGTTGTCATGCATAAACATGAATTCGTTTCCTATAAACGGTGCAAATGGAATTACATGTGGATCTAGCACACCACGAATATATATCAGTTAGCTGCCATTGCTCCGTCGCTAACAATGACTAAATCAGTACGAGCTTCCATGCTTATGCCGCCCCAAAGCATTACCGATCCTCCTCCATAACTGAGTCTTGTGGAAAAATTTGCTTGGTCAAACCTTTCGCCTCTTCTTCGGTATATTCTTTAACGGCCATCAGGAGAACGTAAACAAAACCTTGACTCGTCAGAAAATAAAATCTTACTCCAGTCATCGACATTCCAATGTTGATGCTCCCTGGCAAATCGAAGACGTGCTGTTCTGTGATTCCTAAGTAACTCCGGACCAGTTGTAGGTCTTCTGGAGCGTAATCCATGTTCTCGTAATCGCCTTCGAATCGTTATTTCGTTAACAGCTATTTGACGTACTTCTTCTAAACGATTTCGAGCCATGACAGCAGTAGTATTTCTTTCTTGCAAAAGATTTAATGTTACAAAACGATCATCTCGAACATTTGTAGAACGTCGTCTGCCAGATCCTCTTCGTCTCGAAAAACTACCAGTTTCATTGAAACGTTGTACAGCTCTCTGGGCGCTACACCTTGTAACACCCAATATTCTAGAAGCATAATACTGAGACCTACCGTCTTGTACCAGAGCAACTGCTCCTGCTGCATCAGTAGGCGTTAAAACCATGATGTTATGCTGATAATGAATATTTGTTATGCTGATAATTAAACTGCAATTGCCAAGTAACGAATATTTGACAGTTGTCATATTGTGAGTTGGCCACAGCACTCTACTTATTTTGTAGTTTATTCTCTACCATCATTTAAATTATGACCGTTTATAAAATGTAGCATTTTCTTTAAACCGTCACCATTTCACAAACAAATTAAGATATTGGGGTAAATAAAAAAACAGTGTTGGAAACAAATCAGTCTTCTTGATAAAGTTAATTGTGTGCAGATCTAGTAGCAGAATTAACCTACAGGGTGTGTCAAAAGTGTGTCCCCTGTATATCCGACGAGTACTAAATTACTTTTAGATGTCCAAATAGTAATCTTAAAACTACAGTATTTTATCTAAAAGTTGCTAAAAACTTCAAAAAAATCAGCCTCCCCATTTGAAAGTTAGAGCATTTTTAAATAAATCATTATTTTGAATGGATCGAATTTTAAGTCAGTGAGTAGTTGGGGTTTTAAAAATATATTGTTTTTTTTTTATTTAATTAATAATTACTGAAAACGAAATTATGTCAAACACTATAGTCTATTTTTATGTATGAGAGAGTATTAAAATAATAAAGCGTTCGTAATCCATAGGCGTAACACTTATTTTAGTAGACAGTTAAAATATTGTTTGAAGTTATTCCTCGAGTATACACTTATATTTTCACCTTATTAACCTGCTTATAACTTCTAAACAGCTGAAGGTAAAAAAGTGCAATTTTTTCTAAAATGTTTTATTTTTCCACAAGGTATGTTAAGAACATTGTGTCAAACGGGTTATGTAGGTACAAGGGTTTAAACTTTGACTTTTAAACAACGTTACGTTCATAAATAATAATTTTAATATAAAAGCTACTTCTTACCTACAAATCCAATTCAGAATCGAAATCAGAAGATGAACTGTCGCAACCAATATTTACAATGAGTGGCTCGATCATTTCATCAGTAATTTTGTCCAACTTATACATTTTCTCTTCTTTAATCGTATGATTTACTGCCTTTTCCCAGTTTTCAGGCTTCACATTATTTACAGCCTCCAAAAACAACTGTTTAACATCACTCATTTTAAAAGAATTATTTTTTCTTGAAACTTCTCCCTTTATCTGTGCCCATATCAGTTCAATCGGGTTTACTTCGCAATGATATGGTGGTGATCTAACCACCGCCATCCCACGATTTTTTGCAATTTCATCAATTTCATATTTTTTGAATTTCTCTTTATGAAGGGAACACAAATGATACAGTTCTTTTCTCACAGAACCGGGATGGAACTTAATTTTCTTTGAATTTGGCCAATTCTGTAAATCTTTTTTTAACCACTTGGTTGTGGACATTTTTTCTATAAGTCTCCAGTGATAACTTGCATTATCCATTACTATTATACAGTTCTGAGGAAGATCTATAATTTGTTCGAACCACTCTTTAAATACATCAGCATTCATGTCCTCATGGTAGTCACCGGTACGAGTAGATTCAAAAGTCAATAAACCACCTTTAACAAGTCTGCCCCCCTTTCCTGATGGTGGATTTAAACCAGTAGATAAATTATTTAAAAAAAGCCTGTCTTCGACTTGTAACAGTTTCATCTTGCCAAAATTTATTTGGTTTATGTCCCTCGTTGATCCATGTTTCATCTAAATAAAATATATTTCTTCTTTGGTTTCTCATTTCTTTTATAGTCCTTAGGTAATTTCTTCTCCATACTACAATATCGCTTCTTTCTATTAAAATAGACTTTCTGAAATGCTTTTTCCATAGAAAACCTATTTCTTTTAAAAGTTTCCATAGTGTGCTTCGACTCATTTCAGGGTAATCCTTATCATCTCGAACCGTGGCAAGAACTTTGTCTACTGTCGGAAATTCTTTTCTAAAGAAGAACGCATGCACTTTCCTTCAAAGTCTTTCTTTCAAAAGATTTTCTAATTGAAATTTTGGTTTTCCTGAAGCTTTACGTGCTGTTTGAAACTCGCCACATTTCTCTTCTTTAACAACTCTGTAAATCGTAGATTTCCCAACACCAATCGTACTACTAATTCCACTGTGTCATCAACACTTTTACATAAATGTTTGTCTGTAAATGATTTAAAACAATTAAATATTAATGTTTTTTCATTAACTGTTAAAGGACCGATTTTTTGTCGTTTACGCGGCCCATCCAAATTTTCCATGATCACACTTATATTCACACTGCACCTTGCAAGTTGCAACTAAATGACATTTAGTAAACTGTCAAGAATACACAACTTGGACCTCCTTACTAAATGGAAAACCTATAATAACATTTTCGGTGAAATTTGTTGGGAAGATATTTATCTACTTATAATTCAATTACTGTAAGAAATTCTTGGAATTAAAATAAAACAAAATTGGCAAATAGGTACTTATTGAAAATAATCTTAAGATAGGGCTATGTAATCTTTAATACACAGGGCTTTTGGCCTGTCCAAACCTTTTTCTATTGTTCTGTACAGTTTATGTTTATAAAGGACCAATAAAAGACGCAAAACTTGTAATAGCTCAGGTACATTTATTACAATTTTAGGAAATATTTAGATTATTCTGTAAAAATATTTAAAATGACCATACTAAGTTTTGCATTAGAAATGCTGTTTTATTACTCTCTCATACATAAAAATAGACTATAGATCAATAATAGATCAAAAACTTACCTGTTACACATCAGTAATTTATTAAATAATAAACCTAATATTTTTAATGACTTATTTTTTTTTTAACGTTATGTAGTAATATACAGGGTGTTTCAGAATAAAATACCATAAACAGTAGATCTTACCTAATTATTAAGAATAGCAGCATATTATTTTCCTGTGAACGTCCCAGTTTTCATTCTACAGGGTGATAAAGTGAATTTCATAAATACATATTTTTCTAAATATCTTCCCTCACACTAAATTAACTTAAAAATATGTATATATTATGTTAGTTAATCGTCATGATATTTTGATAAATTACGATTACCCATTGGCATAGACTCAAGGGTTAAGTCCTATATTATAATTTTCACTTAAAGAAAAACAAAATGATACTCTAAGAAAATAAAAATATTTAACTGGTAACTTATAATTTAGTTAAGAACTTTTATCTTATTTAGGTATATAAATATACCATATATTTGAATATACTGATTAGAAGATAGGAACTATCTTTGTATTTAGTAAAAGAAAAAGATTCTAAACAGAATAGGTTAAAAAGTTTAAAAATATTGTATTTTCCATGCTTAACTGGTTTCGTTTGTCATTCCACTGGATATTTATTAAAGAGAAAATTCTTTCTACATTTAAATTGAAGGTATACTAAAAATATACTGGCACATTTTTAAATTTCAGACATAAGGAATATTAGAATACTTAATGGAAAAGAGTGAAGTTAAAGGACCTCGGTCAATGGCCTTTTGCGACGTTTTGTTTCAATAGGGCACTGTTATTATTATTAGAGAAGTTGAAAAGCTACAAAGTTACCAAAAAAATACAAATTCAAAAACTTTTTTTTTAACTGGGACATTTATGTGTCTCAAGACTCTTTGTCTGGACACCGGGACTGTAATTTACAAATGGGACAATCCATGGAAAACGGTACGCCTGGTCACCCTATCTTTATGTTTACTTATTTTCTTATTAATCTTACTTCAACTTCAATCCAATATTCTACAAAAGAACCCGACGGAAATAATAAAAATTACCTATAAGCTTATAATAGACAAGAAGAAGCAAATATTACAATAAACCAAGAGTTTTTTTCTCAGAACTAATTTTAACTTTCACTATATAAATTCATGCTTTTATGTAAAGGTTATAGCAGACATAACCTCTAATATTATCTAAAAATCAATATTTCCTGCCAAAATATATTAGCATTATAAATTCATATTATGAAGTAAGTGGGGCTAATAGATAGGGTTTTGAAGTAAATTGAAATGTAGTACTTACTAGAGGGTATCGGGTGGGCCTATTATGAGTACTTCCCATCTGTAGATATCATTATCATCTATAAGACCTGCAGAAAAACCCTCCACGGGGTTCTTGTTCAGTTCTATAAGAAACAAAAAAACCAAAAATCAACATTATTCTTTCTCCAAGGTCAGAAAAATCCAGCTGTAATAAACAACAATGATAAACAGAATAGCCTTGTGTACAAATATAAATTTCTATCAGGAAGCAATAGCCACATTTCCTAATAGTAAAATAAATATGTAAAATATGTAAATAACATTAGTTTCAGCAACATTATTTCACTCTCCTTTGTGTTGCAATATAGAAATTCAAAGAGTTAACACATAACTTTTTCTTGTTCCAAACACTTAATTTAAATTGAGTAAAAACTGATAAAGTAGCTTCTCTGTAAATAAAATGTTATAAAAAACTCTGGTATTAAACTGGAATTTTAGAATTCCTTCATTCCTTGTAAAAAAAGTAAATCAAATAATTTAGGCAGAAATTGACGTGTGATAAGAAATAATATGCACGCTTATTGATTTTGCTGAAAGCCCTGTAAATTAAAAAAAAAATCCCACACAAAAGTCTACCATCGATAATAAAAATAGAATGAGGCGCCTATTTTTGGATATACGAGACAAATTGGACACAAAAAACCGAGGTTGTACCACAAGAATATTTGGATTTCAGAATTCCAAGGGTATTTTTGAAGTTACACGAGTTTTCAGCAAGTTAAAGGACGAACATCACTTTCACTGACCTGCTAGCTGTTTTCTCAGTAGAAGAGCTGACTGTGGTTCTGACATTAATTACAATTTTAATTTTGAAAGATGAATAATCCAACAACAAGGTATCGTAAAATGGCCGGTCTCGATCTTGACTTGAAAGTTTGGGACCGCATTGACTCAAACATATGTTATTTCCGGAAAGGTTTGTTGCTCGACTACAGGCAAACGTCAAAATCGTTTCAGCCTCTAGTAGCGAATAACGCAACCAACCACAATCTGTAAATTTAAAGGAATTTTGAAATCTGTCTCCAAAAAATGTGTGTGACGTTCGATAGATGGCACAGCAAAATTTATAAATTTGTTTTAGAAAATATCTTATAATAAAAAAAATTAACAAAATATAGCAAATAACCAGGACTTAGGGAATTATATAGAAATTTCTGGTAAATGTTTCAAAAACGTTTGTCTACTTAAAAATAGTCAATTGTAATTTTTTGCTATCTTTCGAGTAATATATGAACTGTCTGCATTTCATATTACAGAAAACTTTAATATTATTGACTGAACTAACTGTCAAAATTTGCTTAGTGTCAACTGTTACCGTCAGATGGTGACTAATAAATTAGTAAAAAATCTACGATATTCTACGTAACTGCAACCTAGGTATACGGTGAGCAAAAGATTATTCGTTACTCTGGTTTCTCTTCATAGCGAATAAATCTTTCGCCTTTTACTAAAGATTTCCGTGGAGAGGAACAATACAAATGAGTCTAAAATAATTTTTTAGAGCCCAACTGAAAAGTTGGGCCTGTTAATTAAACCAAATATAATACCTAAGTAATAATATACTGATTACTGACTAAAATAATCAGAAATCGAAATTAACGTTTTACGTTTTTGCTATTATTGCAATGCAGTCTACAGATGCAGTTTATTGATTCTTTAGCACTGTGATAGAGGGTTAGACATGGGTAACGCACTAAAATTCTTTGCGTTGATACACTAACTCCGGCGCACTCTATTGCGCCAACTCATTGCGTTAACGCAATTGCGTTATTGCGTCACACCACTGCCTG